CGGAAGCTGAGCTTGACTGAGTACACGGTTTCTCAACTTTGGAACTGTTGATGATTGGGGCTGGACAATTCTTTGTTGTAGGGGGATTGTAGGATGTTTAGCAGCATCCGTGGTCTCTACCACTAGATACCAATAGTAGCATCCCCTCTAGTTGTGATAATCAAATTGTCTCCAAACATTGTCAAAATTGGCCTTAGTTGAGAGCCACTGAGGTAGTAGAAAGAGCTGAACGGCAGAGATGTCACCCAGGGAGGTCCTGGGTCCTATGCTGATCCCCCCATGGAGTGTACTCAGGCAAGTACGTTGCTAGCCTCAGTTTCCCCTTCTATGAAATAGGGCTTCAATGTTTCAAACCTTCTCATTCTATAATTCATTCCTCAACCTGTTCTCCCACCCCACGAGTGGATGTCCCCACATCTGTCTGCTCAGCATTTGGAAGGACTCCTGTGAACCAGGCCCTGGGCCGCCCTCCTCTACCTGCACCCATCCCTGAAGGCATCTCCTCTCCCAAGGACCCAGCTCTGCCTCCTTGGTCTTCTCCAGATGGGGGGAAGCTCTGCTTGGCTCCCCTATGCTATCCTTCACCCCAAACTAACATGTCTAAAATCAAACACTTAATCTCCCCCCCAAACCCTGGTCAGCTGAATTTCTCTCAGGATTCATGGGTACCCCCCCAAACCCTCTGAATTCTATTCCCCAATTTTCTGCTCGTTTGGTTCCTCCTTTCTCCTCCTGCTGTCCTAGGTCAAAGCTTTATTACCCAATGCCTCGATCTTGGATGGCAACAGGACACTGTGGATAAGGCACCAGACTGGGTTCTAATTCCCTCCCTGACACTAGCTGTGACCTTGAGCTAGTCTCTTCACCTCTCTGAGCCAGTTTCAGCCTCTGAAATGGGGATAACATAAGGGACGCATACGTAATTACTGACATAATTTGTGTAAAGTACTAGCATGCAATAAATGCCCATACATGTCACCTATCAGCAGCATCTTTTTTGACATTGTGACAGCCCCGTTCACCCAGGCTGGTCCTGACGACACTACAAGTCAGACTCTAATGCACTGTCCCTGCCCACCGCTGAGAGTTTAGACTTCTTAACTCGGCATTCAAGGCCCTGTGTGAGGGTGGCCCCACTGTTTGCAAAGTGAGCAGGTGGGCTCCAGGCAGGCCTCACAGGGTGCCCAAGCCTCAGAGCCCATGCTGGTAATATCCACAGGCCTCCCAAGTCAGCACACAACTCCACCACAAGGAAGCCAGAACAAGAGGCCCTAGGTGGGAGCTTTCAGCTTTTCCGGGCTCCCAGATTTAGGGAGAGGTGGGAGAAGGGCTCCCTACCTAGGACCAAAGGGAGCAGGCGGGTAAGAACTCCTATAGCTCTGGAAGGGAAACAACCAACCCAGCGGCCTTCACGGCTGCCCCATCCGACCTCTCCAGCCTCAGGGCAGGCAGGGCAAGGGTCAGACCCTGCTTTGCAACTGAGAAAACTCAGTACCAGGGAAGGTGGGTTACCTCCCCAAGGTCAGGCAGGCAGCCTGGGAAGATGCTGGGCCAGCGTCCCCTGAAAGGTTTTTGCATCTCATTATCTTCTGACCCCACATTCTGGATGTCCGGGGCCCCCGCCGCCGGGCCAGGAACAAAGACGGAGGGAGTTCCTCAAGCCGAGAGTTCCCTTTTGACGGCTAGAGAGGGCTCAGCCGGTCAACAG